CCTGCAGACCTGCCATAAAGGCAGGAAACCTGCAGACCTGCAAATGCTGTTAACACAGTTGAACATGAAAGAAGGAGCAGCTGAAAGGTCTGACCTGAGGACCAGAGATAGTGACGGAGTCTTCAGCGTTGTGGCAGGCTGGAACAACTCCCTGAGGACACTGGCTGATGCACTCCTCCCAGGTCAACCCTGCAGAGAACAGAAGCTTCATTCAATCAGATATATTTAGGAAATTAGACAGGAACCATAAAAACTTCCATGATCTCATCATTTCATGGGTAATATTTCATTGAGGAACTTCATCAGCTTAACAGACTAAAATGTGAGCCAGAAACTGAGTGGTTTCTAGAACAACCATCACTGGTTCTCCAACAACTGAAGCTGGACAGAGGTTATTAAAGTCGGCGTTACCATGTCCAGACACCAGGCCTCCAGGCGCACAGGGACCTTTAAGCCCCGCCAGCACGGCTGGTTGAGATTCATCGACCCATTTCTGGGACAGGAGCCACTGAACTGAGACTTTCTTCAACCAGCAACAGCTTCTGAATCAGTTACCATGCCGACAGATCCTGATGACTGATAGGTTTATATTGGATTTTAAGATATTCTTTATGGACCCAGGAACCCAGTTAAAGGCGGCCCCTGGGAAGAACCCTTGACTAGTGACGTTCAGGAGGCTGATATGTGTCAACAGCTGTTACTATGGTAACAATTGAACAAACCAATCATAAGAGCAGAGAACATCTCTGCAGAGCCCAGACATCCTGCACACCAACTGTTTAGACTTTTACCGTGTGGTTAAAAGCTCAGTTCGTCCTGCTGCAAACATAAGCAATAGAATTAGAAAAAGTTGCATTTCCTGTGAAAATGCAGCGTGAATGCTGTACACTAAACTGTAAGCTGAAAAACGGCAGAAACAAAGACAAATAAAAGCAAAAACTGCTAAAAATGGATGAATTAGCAGAAAAAAGAAACCTGACAAACAGCAGGAGCAAACAGAAATCACTCAGACAGAAAATACTGAAAGGATAGAAATGAGTAGAACACAGAAAAGCGTCCTGGCTGTCCTGAAAAATGGAGGAATGAAGCCAGTTAGAATAAATAAAACCTGCTGAGATCTAATAATTCAACAGAAACGACTCATTGTTTGCCAAACAGGCTTCATTATGCCTAACCTTCTTCTTCCTACAGAATGTTCTCTGTGCAAAAGGTGATGGTGTAAAAAACTGGGTCGTTTTAAAAGCTTTTCAGGTGAAAGGCCAACAACTCTAACTCATTTCAAAACCATAGAAGTTATCAAAGAAATTCCTTCATTTTCATGTCTGATGGGAAACTTCCACTAGCGGCATGTCTCTGCATCAAACGGTGAGTTAAAAACGTGTCGTTTAAGGTTACGAAGCTCCGATTTCAGGAAACTCTCCCATTGAGGGCAGGTGGACTTCTCAGCGCTCTAAGACCAGTTGCTCAAAAACTGTAACTTCCACAACAATGAGGATTACATTTCCTGAATCCAGACAAAAATTCCTACGTTTTGATGTATAATTTATCTGGATAGAGAGAATGAGAAAAATTGATTTGCCTTATTACTTTAGCACCACGAACATTATAAAACCCAAAATCTGGAAAAATAAAATGTTTAAAGTTTGAAGCATCACTGAAGCAAAACTGTAAATGATGCAAAAGGCTGCATGTCACAGTGATAGCTGACAGGTGTGAAAACATTTTAAAAGATGATTGGTGTTTGTATCTAAAGGTATGTGGAAGTGATTAAATGGCAAAAACCGTGAAGTTTGAGCAGAAATTCCATTCATTTAAAGGGAGAAAAAAAGCAGAAAATAATCAGCATTTTTAAAAAGTCTAAAAATCATAGCAGGACTGTCCTAAATGAGCTGAATGTTGTGAAAATGGCAGAAAGTATGAAGCAGTTGAAATGATTCAAGAAGAACAGGATGGCTCCTCACCAACTGCTGCCATGCCTCCTGCAGGAAGATCTGCCACCTTGATGCAGTGGCCTCTCCAGTAGGCAGCCAGAATGGCCTCGCTGTGGCTGAAGGAACCATCAGCGTATCCACAGGCCAGTTCTCCCACAGAGTGTCCTATGATGCCGTCCGGCTCAAGGCCCATCTTCCTGAGCAGATCGATCAGGGCAATCTGCAAACAGGAAGCAGAGACGTTTCACAGCAGCTGGTTCCGGTCTGACCACTGAAGAAAAAAAAAAGATGGCTGTATACCTGTATGGCAGCAAGACCAACGAAGGCGTTAACCGTGTCCTCAAAGGTGGCTTCATCCGCTTCACGGAGCAGCTGAGACACAACCAGGCCGGTCTCCTTCAGGGCGACATCGGAGCGCAGAATGGATTCTCTGAAGTCCGGCAGCTGCATGAGACTACGGCCCATCCCGGCCCACTGTGTCCCCATACCTGTGGACCGCACAGATCTGCGTCAACCTGGCGCACCAACCACCATTGCTCAGTCCCACTGCCCTGCATGTTTTGGATGTCTCTCTGGGGCAGAACTCTGGCATAACTGCCTGCAGCGAGCCTAACGCCAACTGCGTGCAGCGAGCCCAACTGTGTGCAGCGAGCCCAACTGCCTGCAGCGAGCCCAACTGCCTGCAGCGAGCCCAACTGCCTGCAGCGAGCCCAACTGCCTGCAGCGAGCCTAACTGCCTGCAGCGAGCCTAACTGTGTGCAGCGAGCCCAACTGCCTGCAGCGAGCCTAAATGCGTGCGGAGAGCCCAACTGCGTGCGGAGAGCCCAACTGCCTGCGGCGAGCCCAACTGCCTGCGGCGAGCCCAACTGCCTGCGGCGAGCCCAACTGCCTGCGGCGAGCCCAACTGCCTGCGGCGAGCCTAACTGCCTGCAGCTAGGCTAATGCTGTATCCTGCTCCCTGCCTCCTTTTTCAAAGGTCAGGATCTGAGCCAGCATGGAAATTCAAGAAGGGCTCACAGGAAAAATAATAGAATATAGTCTGCTTTTTCTACAGGTTTGTTAATTTGCATAATTGTTCTTAAATAAACACAGAAAATAAATAGTTTTTATATATTAAAAAATATAAGGCTGACTAATAGCTTCTCCATCATTAAACTGGGCCATTATTTTTTTAGGTTTGTTACGCCATATTGGACCATGCAGAACACAGACTCTGTATACGTTGATTGGTTTACGTCTATTTTTAATATATTTATCACAGAGAGCAGGAGTTTCACCTCCTGAGCCGCTCCCTGAGAACCGACCAATCACAGCTTATCGTTCCACCAACCAGTCATTGTCTCCTTGGCAGCAATTTCTACAACACATGCAGCTCAGAGTCGCTCGCTGAACGGGTTTATTCACTGCATGCTGGGAAAGTGCAAAGCATTTCCAGAGCATCTGATTGGTTGGTTGAAGGCGCCTCTGATTGGTGCTTCCTGGTTGAACTGCTGCAGGAACTAAAAGGCAAAAAGTTTTCCTGCTGAACTTACTACCCGGGGGGGGTTAGTGCTGCTGCTCCACTGCCTGGGTGCAGCCTGGACAAGCTGCTGCCTGCCTGATTACATGAATGAAAGAAGGTGGATGATGACTCACCGGAACAGACGTACCACAGCGGTCTGCCTGCAGCCTGAACCAGCTGCACCTCCCTGATGTCACTCTGTGAACCGAGCAGAACGTAACCCCTGTAGGGCATGCTGGCCACGGGCATCTCTGACAGGCTGCTCAGCAGAGACAGGAAGCTTTCATTGGTGTTGTGATCCTCCGCCCTCTGGAGGAGCGCCTTCACCGCAGCCTCGGTGCGGCCGCACGCTGGAAGCATTCTGGGAACTGTCCTGAGTCCCGCCGGGTCGGTGGGTCCGGTCGGGTCGGTGGGTTTACCGGCGGGACGAAGAATGACGTGAACGTTTGAGCCCCCGAATCCAAAGGAGTTGATTCCCACAATGCCTCCTTGAACAGGAATGGGCCGGTCTACCACCTGGACCCGACCGTCGCTCAGGGCGGGGATGTCAGGGTTGGGCTGTTTGAAGTACAGGTTGGGAGCCCAAAGGCCTCGCTCCAGAGACAGAACCACCTGAGGACAAGATGAACACAGCAGAGGACACTGAAACAGCCCAGAGCTTCTGCAGCAGCTTCATATGGATCCACCAATAAAAACAGAAAGTCTAAATATCAGCTGAATCTGCTCCGCCTGATGGCGGCCCCCTGACCGCTGCCTGGTTCTGCTCACCTTGGCCAGAGCTGCCAGACCAGATGCTGGTTCTGGATGGCCCATGTTTGATTTGGTGGAGCCAATCAGCAAAGGCTCTCGTTTGGCCTGGCAGAAAACACCCACAATGCCGTTCACCTCCTGCGGGTCTCCCACCTAGAGGCACAACACAGAGACGCAGAGAGATGAAGCCGTCGATGAGACAGGAGAGGCCTCGATGAGGTGGAGTCGCAGGGATTGTTGACCTTAGTTCCGGTGCCGTGGGCTTCTACGTACTCCACTTGATCAGAGGAAACGTTTGCCTCCTGATAGAGAGAACGAACCAAGGTCTGCTGCATGTCACCTGATGGGAACGTGACGCCTGAGGAGAGCAGAACAGAAGACCGATTACAGGAAGGTGGACCCACAGCCTGCCAGGTGCTCTCTAAAGCTAACTAACTAGATCATCTAGGATCTCCTTGGCTTTGAAAATGGTGCAGAAAGAAGGGAAACCAGGAGGCCAGCTCAGGTTCTGAACCAAAGAGCAGGACGTCTTATTCCCTAAATCCACTACAGCAGCAGGCTGTGAACCTTGGAGATGAGCTTTACTTTGAATAGGACATTCCCTGCATCCTGACAGAGCTGCTGTGGGAGGAGTTCCAGGCAGAGATGTTCTCCACAGGGACGTCTTCTCGGACCCTTGATTGTTCTGCTTCCTGCTTTCGCTCAGATTTTAATGAAAGCTCTGAATCCGTTCATCCATCTGATCGTCTGTCTGTAGTTCTGCAGGTTTCTAAGCACCAACCCTCTGCGGTTTAGGAATAACAGATCCTCCCATCATCCCTCGGCTCAAAGATCCAGTCAGGATTTCGAATCATTTTAACTCCTGTTAGCAGCAGCGTCTGGTTTAGCCTGAAGGTTCTGGTTGGTTCTGCAGGGTTCAGGACTCTAATGACACCAGTCTGCTGCATGCATCCAGCAACAGCATCAGAGATCATTTTCTCCAGGATATCAGGAACTGTGCTGAAGCTGAAATATAGCGATCTACATGAAGGCAGACCCGGTCCAGACGTCCGGCGGCTCCACTGACCTTGCTCTTTGTATCCGTCCGTATTGTTGCCTGCATTGATTATGGTGGCGTAGACTCTCTTTGCTGCAGACGTCCTGGTCAGCAGCACTGCCACCGCCGCTTCAGAACGGCAGTATCCATTCCCTAAATGAAAACAGGAGCGGTGAGTGCAGGCCACGCCGACCAATCAGTTTTAAAGCTAAATGGAGCCCTTCTTGAATTTTCTGCTGTTTGTTTCTACCTGATGAGTCAAAAGACTTGCAGGTCCCATCAGGGCTGAGCATCCCCAGCTTCATGAACTGCACTGAAGTGTTTGGCTTCAGCAGTAGGTTGACTCCTCCCACCAGGGCGGCGTCGATGTGGCCCTGCCGGATGGCGTGGAAGGCGTTTTCTAAGGCCAGCAGGCTGGAGGAGCAGGCTGTGTCGATGGTCACACTGGGGCCTGTGGGGATGGAAACACTGGTTCACTGCGCTTAGAGAGGGGCTGGTCCCAGTACTCCCAGTTACACTGGTTCTGGATGCTAAGTGTACCTTTGAAGTCAAAGAAGTAGGAGAGTCTGTTGGCCAACATGGCCCGCTGGCAGCCCGTCATGCTGTAGCCCAACAGCTCCTCTGGGTCTCTGCTGAAGGCCTCGCCGGCTTCAGAGCCGCTCACTCCAACGTAGACGCCAGTCCTGCTGCCGCGCAGACTGTTCGGGTTCAGACCTGTGGGCGACATATTTCAGCAACAGCCACACACCTCGGCTTTACAACTATTTCTGATTCCCCACCTCCATCCACGATGGCTTCATAAGAGACCTCCAGCATGAGCCGCAGCTGGGGGTCCATGGTATGGGCCTGTTTGGGGTGGACGCCGAAGAACGCTGCATCGAAGTGACTGATGTCCTTCAGTTTGCCATTTCTTTTGGGAAGACCGTACAAACCTGGAGAAACGCAGAAGGACTGTGGTTTAACTGGTTCCTTACTGCTTTTGGGGGTAGCAACAATCAGGCAACGACTTCTGCTACGCCTCCAGAGTCACAGCAAACGGCTGCAGAAGGTCACTTCTTCATAAGCTGAGCTCAGAAAATACCTTCATCATCCAAAATTAAATGTTTGCTAATGCTAACCAAAACTAAACATTAGCATAAATGAACTAGCAAATTAAATGTTTTCTAATGTTAACCAAAGCTTAACATTAGCATTAATGGTCTAGCAAATTAAATGTTTGCTAATGCTAACCACAGCTAAACATTAGCATTAATGGACTAACCAATTAAATGTTTGCTAATGCTAACCATAGCTAAACATTAGCATAAAGCGTGGTTTATGTTTGACTCGACTCATGATGGCTGCATAGCCAATTTGTCAATCATAATGAGCCCTTTAGGGCACGGAAAAGTTAAATGTCAACTAACGCTAATTGGTCGATCACCTGCATCTGTTGCTTTAATCCATTATAGAAAAACACTGCTATAACCAACTGATCAGTGAAGGAAAACATAAATCCCCTGGATCCTTGAACGCCACCTTAAGGTGAGGGAGGGATTTCACATAGAGGCCAGGCTGCCCTGGTTTTAAATGCCCCTAGGAGGGTCTCTCAAGGCAAATAGGGTCTGGGTAATGGGTCAGACAAAGTGGTTCAAAGAGCTCCCATGAAGAAAAAAAAGGGTGCACATGACATCACTCAGTATGGCGGAGCTGGGACCTCGCCCTGGAGCCTGGTCTAGGGTTTGGCTTCCTCGGTGAGCGCCTGGTGATCTGTTTCTTCCTAGCGCGTCTCCCCCAGGCTCATCCGGAAGGAATAATGATTTAGCAGTCGGTCTACCTTCCTACCCTCACCTAAGGTCATTAATCTGGATCAGGACCCAAAGAACCAGATCCTGGATCCAATCTTCCTCTCCAGGGAGGCTGGGTTCTCCCTCAGAGAGAGGGTGAGGAGCTGGGTCATCAGGGAGAGGCTCAAAGTAGAGCCACTTCTCCTCCACAGCTGAGGAGGATAAGACATCTTTATCTGATGGACGCCTCCCTCTGAGGGGTTCCAGGGATGTCCCACCATTAGGAGGCTTGGGGGACGACCAGTACACCATGGACGGACAATGGCCATTTTCCAGACGAAAACCCCAGTTTTTCAAAACCAGGTTAATCGCTAATAATCTGATTTTGGCTCTTTTCTCATTTGATTCTAACCCCTCGCTTGCAGCTGTGTGGCCTCTGCCCCAAACCAACCCAACCCCCCACCCCCTGATTGTTAGATCAGAAGCGACTGGCACGGTGTGTTTGTTGATGTTCGTACGATGTGTTCAATGGTATCATGAAATCAGCGGGTCGACCAGACTCTGGTGTTCCCACAGCATGCCGATCAGAGCCGAAGAGATTTTAAAACTGGTCGCTGCCGAGTCATTTGACCCGGGTAGACACTTGCAGTGAGCCGTTTCAACTGCTACTAAAATCCCATTGCTCCAGTTTAAACTGGTTTTTCAGCCAGTGGGAAAGGGGTAGAATGTCTCTGCTGGCCTGAGAGACGATGAGGAGATGGAAATCTGGGAGTCTCTGATGTCCCAGATGTTGCAGATGACGAGTATGAGTTCCCTAAAACATTCATTCAAAACCAAAGAAAAGCTACCAACAGATTTTTTTCAAACGACACGAGCAACACCCAGGAACCATTCTGTAACTGCCTTCAAGTGGCGTCTGATCGAGGGTTAGCGCCGAGTTAGCCGCCATCGTCCTCTTTGCGACAATCAGCCGGTGGCATCTGATCAGGTGTTAGCACTGAGTTAGCCAAGGTTGAACGGATTGGTGCGAGCAGGTTCACCACACTGGAGGTCTAACCTGGTGTCCACCGACGGTCGTCCTCAGTCACCATGTCCACGCCTTTGATAAGGTTTTCCCAAAACTCCTCCAGGTTGTGGGACTCTGGCAGACGGCCTGATATTCCGGCTATGACGATCTCCTCCATCCTGGATCACTGTAACACAGATAAGGTGAGGATGAAGACATTTAACACATAAGGAGACACGTCTTTGTCCACAGGGTGTTAAACACCAAGACCCATTCTACCGTTAGAATCTCTATAAACCTCATAAAACCCATAATCAGATATCTGGATGAACTTTGATATTAGCTGCTGGTCGTTTCATCCAAGCAGACCCCAAAGGTTGAGGTCTGGAGACCGGCTGGGACCTCCAGGACCTTGACAAGCTTTTAAAGAGGCCCCTCCCTGGTTGGCAGAGCGTCGTGTTTAGATGATCGCTGTGCTGGAAGACCCAGCCACCTTCAATCCTCCACTGAGAGGAAGTTCAAAGACAGATGATGAAGATCACAGACCTTTTAAGATCTTTCTAAGGAGGAGAAGTTCCACAATCAGACGTGGAATAAAGACCTTCTCAGATAGAGTATTGCTGCTGCTCCTCATCTTCAGACCATGGCTGTGGGAACGTCTATCTTGGTTGTCTTCCTTTGATCTGCTGGGTCTCACCTAGAACCTCCTTCAGGAAGAGCCTCAGCCCAAACAACAGCTTAGTTCTGGAGCAGGATGACAATCCAAAGCAACTCAAGATGAAGTTCTGGAGTTAAAACAAAAGTCTCACCCTTGGTTCCCCTTAACTGATCCTTGGTTCCCCTTAACTGATCCTTGGTTCCCCTTA